ATTCGAACCCGCGACCCTCAGATTGCGAGTCGAGCGCCGTAACCACCTGGCCATGCCGGGCCTTTAAGTCTAGAAAGAGCAAGAGTGAGGCGTGTTATGACCTCATCTCTTCAGCTAATAAACAGTGTTAATCTGTAACTGCTAAAGCAAACGTTTGTGATAGAGTACTTATTTAATTGCTACTTATAAACTATTAAGTACCACTTTTTTGACTACGTAAACGACGAATAGATTTGATGTTCTCAATACTACAAGATAATTTTACCTCTCCATATTCCCGAGAAACGCTGGTAGGATGTTTTAATGTTAGCAAGTACAAACGTTAAGCAATGCCTACCACAGGGTTTAACCCCGAATTTTAGAGTTTTAAGCCCTTAAGCTTACCACTGAGCCCTCGAATGTGGGGCAGTGGCACGAGGGAGTGTTGAACAAATTACGAAGAAATTCGGGTATGTAAAATTAATTTTAGGAATAATATATCAAAGCAGCAAATTATAAAAAGTCTTTAATTAAAGAACCAGAAATCAAAAGAATTTGTATTTAAACATAAAGAAAAGCACACTAAATAAATCGGATGAAACAACAAATTTAATAAAATAGATATGCTAAATTTTATTTACGTAATAGTATTTATTATGAAAAATTCTATACCAAATAAAACTGATAAAAATTGAAATATTAAGAAATTTAATAAGTACTTAAAAAATTAAAATGTAAATTCTTACAAAAAGTGTCTTGGGCAGGAAAGACGAGGTGGCAAACGACGCGAAGCAGGAGACCAACAGAAGGAAGGTGGTTACAAGAAATCCGAAACATGTCAGAAGGAGGGCAACTTCTTCAGATCTGCCGATGTACCCCGAAATACTGTATCTAGTGATGTGACTTCCGTAATATGCTATTAAACCCAAACAAATGGCTCCCAGGATCTAAACAGAACAAAGAAACAATCATGAACAACAGATATTTACAAAAATAAAGGTAACTAGGATATTGGGGTGGGGTTGATAAAAATATTTGTATTTTTATCAACCAAAAATGTACGAAAATTCGTTATACGTTTGGGCTAAAGAAGCATTTTGAAAACAACTAGATAATACTTTATGAAAAATGTGTATTCCGTTATTCCATATAGATCACACTTAAAACCAAGTGCAACACTATTTTGTTAGTTAATATTTTACATATATACGTACTTGATTTGTCCAGTCTATAAAGTTTGTTAAAGTGACACGAATGTCATCTTCATTGCCATACCATATCCAAAAAAATATTTAATGTAACAATCTATATCGGCTAAAGTATATTGATTAATAACTATTTTTTTTCTTAAATATCAGTTACACCAGTACATTTATCCTAAACTATAATTATAATGCTATGACAGGTCATAATAATTGATAATAAAAGCTGCAACTCAAGAACAACCTTGACACTATGTGATGACGAATTGGTTTAGAGGTTATGCCGATACATCGTTATTTCAGAATATTCCGTTAATTTTACTTGACAGACATTGAACAAAGTTTGCAAAGCGTGTCTTTATTATTCTAATGATATTTAAATAGGACATGTCGCTAATCTGTTTGTTTATTTGTTGTAAACTCAGAGCAACAAATGGGTTATCTATGCTGAGTTTCTTTATCAGAGGTAGTGAAATTTGCACATATCTACCATATCAAATGTCATAAGGCCAATACCAGGGATTATCAGGTCGCCTAGGATATGACAGACACAGTTGTAATTTAGACGCTGTTTATATTATCGAATTAATTTATTAGTCCAGTAGACAAATCTTGAAAGTGAGACTAAGTGTAAAAGTGCTTACCAATAAGCTTTCTTTGCTGAAATGAGTTCTTCAAAAGTGTTCGTTTCAAAATTCCAATCAGTGCCTAGTTGGTATGGTCGAGTTTGTTTGTGTGTGTTCCAGAAATAAAACTGTGTACTTTGTATAAGCATGGTGAAAAGCATCACTGTATAGTCATCAGTGTAAGGGCAAAGCATGCGTATTTCCAGTTAGAATATTTTCAGCTTCCAAGTCAATCAGTTTGTTGTATTATGTAGTCTCTTGATAAATAATCATACAGGCGTGTTAAACTATATGCTAGTGTACAGATAAGTAGAGGGCTTAAAAATGTTTTATTGTTTATTAGAAAAACTACTAACATTCGGTGTCTCCTCCTTTAAGTCTAGATCAGTGGTCGGCAACCTATGACCCGCCAAAAGTTGTAAATAAACATACACATTTAAAATACGTGTACCGGTATTAATAATTATATGATTATCACTGACCCAACACAATGCTAAGTTTTTCAAAAAAAATAATTGACCCGCGATCAAAAAAGGTTGCCGACCACTGGTCTAGATCCAGTTAAAGCTTTAGCAATACAGAAAAAACAGTAGTGTTTCTGCAATTTTGAAAAGATAGCTCCACAAATTAACGGCGGAGATGCATCTTTGTTTGTTTTGAATTTCGCGCAAAGCTACACGAGGCCTATCTGCGCTAGCCGTCTAATTTAGCAGTGTAAGACTAGAGGGAAGGCAGCTAGTCATCACTACCCACCGCCAATTCTTAGGCTACTCTTTTACCAACGAATAGTGGGATTTACAGTCACATTGTAAAGCTGAAAGGG